AACTATTTTTTTTCTGTAACAATTTTCAATACTTACGATCAGTTAATATCCTACTCAATGCAAGGTGTAATCACACAAACTTCAGTGTTTTAAATTTCCAAAATTGCGTTTTCACATTCCCTGCAAACTGAGACGCATTCTCCATTACTATAAGAAACATTTAACATTGGATACGTATAACACAGGAAAAGTAGAAGGTAAGATAAGTAAAAAAAAAAAGAAGTAACAGTGAATGATGCTGAAGCTCATCTGGTTCAGTCTATCACTCTTTTTTTTCAGTAATAATTTGAATGGTTATTTATTTTTTACATAATATTCAGAGTGGCAGCATTGCGGACTGAAGCATAGCTGTTATAGTTCTCTAACACCCATGGATTTCTTGACAATGGAGGTGCTGGAGCTAAGGGTATTAAGTAAGTAAAGTTATATTAGCTTCAAAGCCTATTAATTCATCAAGAGAGGTAGAATTAAAAATTGAAGAAATGCATGAAGTTACTAAAGATATTAAAACAAATTAGGTATAGAATTAAATGAACTGGAGAAATCTAAGTTCTAAAGTAAAAGGGAATGTTCTGTTAGAAAGTTAACATCCATGTTTTGACAGATATTTCATTTGATACGTTTGATAAACTAAGTACACAATTTAAGACATATGTAATTTTTCAAGAGATTACTTTTAAATTATGAATAAGTTAAAGGGGAACAATCTCTTCTCTAGAAGATGATGTACCCTTTTCTTTTCAATGTATATTAATGATTTAACAAATGACATCATAATCGAGTTCAGACAAGGCAAGCCAAGGCAAACATTGCAAAGAAAATTATCTATTTTTCCTCTTCTTTGAATGCAAAGGATAAAGTTTGTAACAAAACGAAGATACCCAGTTGCAGGACAAAGGTGTGGATTTCTACAATTAATTTTTTTTTCCCCCCACTTCACAAATAAACATTTGTTAAATATTGATTTAAGTAACCATATTATTAAAAAACCTGGTAAGTGGCAGTCCCTCTTTAAAAGATGGTAGTAAAGCAGACAGATAAAGGAGGCAGTATAGTGATAATACACAGGAACTACTATATACAGGAACTACAATTTAGAGGAAACTTATAGACTTTTAGAGCAATTAAACACCTGCCAGTAAATAAAAAAAAATATATCTCTTGATTATAATTATCTTATTAATTATGTTTTTATTAGACAGGGATACAATAGTGAAGTCTCAGAAATAATAATACAATGACTTGTCTAATAATCGCCTAATAACACTGTTATTACTTAGTGTCAAAGTAATCACAAAAATCTTCTGGTAGACCTAATATTAGAGTCATAAATTTCTTGACAGCCAATATTTATGAATATATAGACAATTTTATTTTGCATAAATATGTGGGTAATACAATCTTGTATTATATAGGGACAACAAATATAAAATTAGCACAGTAGCTATTACAGTTCATATAATACAATACAATGCTAATAACATTAAAAAGGAATCAAACATGTTTTTTTTTTTCCTTGTGTCTTCTTTAATTTAATAAACAATTATTTTGTTTTAAAGTAGAGTACTATCGCCTGAAACCCAGCACTGCTATGGGCACTAGGTTTGCACCAGTTGTGCAAATTAAATAATGGCTAGTTGTGAAACCCAGTGTATTTTGAAAAAAAACATAGATGGAAGGTAGGGTACCCTAGAGGTATACTTTTTATTCTAGTTGTGACCGTAGTCACCATCACCAAGAGCTTAAGATGGACAATTGAATTACGTATCTGGGTGATTCCTATGTTTAAGTCACCCTGTGTCCATTGTGGGTGCAGGGTGTGTGTGTAATGTGGTTGTTTGGGGATAAATGTTAATGTGGTCTCCTGTCTTGCTAATGCTTGCAATCAACTTAAGTGGATTTAGCTGTGGATCCTGTATAGCGCCACCTGTTGGTTGCAAGGATCTAGCAACAACTATATGCAATTATGCACTACCTGAATAGCAAGCCTTGCTGATTTGCTTATTCAGGTAGATTTGCATATTGCTAATTCTGCAGGCAGGAAAGATATTTTCTGTTAATTATTGTCTTCCCACCCCTTTATAAATATGTAATTATGTTATTATAAGTTCCTGTATGTTGTCTAATGTGATTTGACTGTTTGTATTTTGATTGAGTTGTAATAGTAATCTATATGTAATGTAAATGTGGGTTAGTCCCAAGAAAAATAAAGTTTTGTATTGTAGTTCCAAATGGAACTTGCGTCCTGTGTGGATTTATAGGGATCCCAGTGACAGAGTCTTCAGACCTTTTTTGCTGGTTGCTGGATCCCTCTAGCCCTGGCATAAAGCAAGAGAGCTAGGCATGAGAGCCTTAAGTGCCTTTGTAAAGGCAATAACTATAATCACAGTAAGCAGAGCTCCAGGGGAACAGTCAGAGGGGACGATACCTGCTTAGAAGGAAAGCTGCACAAGAACAGGCAGAAGGGACGATCCCTGCCTGGAAAGAAGGTTGCAGGAGAATAGGCAGAGGTGACTGGAGCTTAAGGGTTCCAGGGTCCCTGCAAGTGGCTAGGAAGTAGACTGAGCGGAGGTACAGGAGCTCCATCACACCAGTGATGTAAAACTATTGCACATTCCTTAAAAATGTTATGTTAGGGGGCGTGGCTTGACGGCTCACCAAGACGGTCGCATGAGCGGTTAGCTCCGTGCGACACCAACCCTGCACAGCGAATAGAGAAGCAGTGGGTAACCTAAACCCCACACAGACAGTCATCGATGCCCGTGACCACCATGGCATCTAAATCAGCTAAGAAGCTGAAGCATAAACAGCCCGCGTTGCTGGTTTCGGCGCTGACACTGCCACGAGCACAGGCCCAAGATGGCGCCGACACGCCACACTCGCCATCCGCGTACTCGGACCGCAGCGACCTCACCTGCATATCGGAACCAGCGGAGACACCTGCAACCGACCTCTCCATCCACAAAATGTTGCAAGCTCTGCAAACATCCCTTCAGGCCGACATGATGAAAATGTCGCGCGACATCAAAACGGAAATCCAAGCGCTTGGAGACAGGACAGCGCACCTCGAGGACAAGACAGATGAGGTTATCTCTGCCCACAACACCCTGGCAGATGCCTACACCGAATTGAGAGACAAACTGGACTACCTCGCGGGTAAGGTCGCGGATCATGAGGACAGGGATAGGCGCAGTAATATACGCCTCCGCGGCATCCCTGAAGAGGTTCCCCCTCAAGACCTTCAAACCTATGCTGTACGCCTCTTCCAGGCCTTGGTTCCTGGCCTAACACAACAAGAATGCCTCATCGACCGCATACATCGCCTACCGAAGCCTAAATCTCTCCCAGCCTCAATCCCGAGGGACACCATAGCGAAGCTCCATTACTACACCAGCAAAGACAAAGTAATGAGGGCTGCAAGGACCTCCAAGGCTCTACCGGAAGAATTTGCAAGCGTCCACCTTTTCACCGACCTTTCTGCTGCAACCCTGCTGAAACGAAAAGAGCTGGCCTGCATCACCAAGTCCTTGAGGGACGCCAATGTCCCCTACAGATGGGGATTCCCAACCCGCATAACCATCCGCCGCGATGGCGTTGACCGCCACATCACATCGACAGACGAAGGACTTACGCTCCTGAAAGAATGGGGCATCACCCCGTCGCAACCTCCCCAGCAGAATGCCCAGATGAAGCCGCAAAGATCACGGTCACCGAGAAAGATCCCGACAGATTGGAACGTGATGTCTACAGATAAGTGAAAAACTGACACTCTGTTTTCTAACATAGCGAGGCACTCTAGCCTAACACACTCACCCGTCAGGGTCATGGACTATAATTTTTTTTCTTTTTTCTTTTTATTTTTTTTCGTTTTTTTTGTGTAATTCCTCTCTTGGGCTCCACGCCACGTTTAATACTGTTTTTCCACCTTGCCTATGCCGCACATACACTTATTAGGTGATCGGCCGCTGAGGCTGAGCCTTGCTGCCATGCCAGGGCCTTAGGCCGGGGCCCGGCCATGGCAGTGACGCACCGGTTAAAGCACAAACAGTTTACTATACAATCTTTATGTCCCATTGAAATTTAATGTCTGCTGTACTGTTTGCATACATAATGCTCCGCCCCTACTTCCGCAAGACGCACTTGCCTGACACTGATGCCGCTACAATGGCGGATGCATTGTCACTACACATCAACATGAGCCTGGGATTGCCTAGCCAACCTCCTCTGTGGCACGCGCGCGGTGAGTGGTGGCTGGGCGGTCTCAGTAGGTGGCACCTCAGACAAGCAATTGGGCATCATGCTCTCACGTTGTAGGATACAGTCCACATGCTACCACACCCACCATCCTCATTGGACACTGTGTTGGCTAAAGGCACGGAACCGATGGGATTGCCCTCTACTGTCCCACCCGGGCTCAATACCTCCCTCTCAATTAAGTTGAGATCCCCCACGGGTATAACATGGTGAACAGAATTGAGGTTACCCCTCTTTACCTAGCTCATCAGGGTGGTAAGACCTGCCAACTCCCACCACCCCACTAGGCTCAACCGAGCCCTCTCAACACCGCCTATGCCCCAGGGCGCTCCAACCGGCGTTTTTTTGTACATAGTTCTCTATAATCACCTGTTTCAACATTTGATATGTTTCTGTTTCCCCCCCTCCCACCCTCTTCTCCCTAAACAATGTATACACGTTGTCAGGAAAGCACAACGACCATATAACGTGTCATTAACAAGCTCTGTTGACATTTTGGGAGGCATGGTTCCCTCGCCAAGTCTGCAAATGCACACTATCCAAACAGGACAACCTAACAAGAGCGCCAAACCCCCTCAACTGATGGACCTAGTCCTGTCACTGGTTGAAACAGCAAACGCTCCCATCCCACCATGACACTCAAGATTCTATCCCTGAACACGAAAGGCCTCAACTCGCCACACAAGCGTAGACTGGCACTGGAAGAAGCAAAAAAACACAAAGCCCAAATTGCCTTCTACCAAGAGACCCATTTCAAATGGGGCGCACGTCCCAAATTCTGCTCCAATGCATTCCCTCATGATTTTCACTCATGCTACAAAAAAAAGAAGCGGGGAGTGTCCATCTTGATAGGGAAGGGAGTAGCTTTCTCATTACTTAAGAAAACAGGAGACAAGCATGGGAGATTTTTGCTACTCCAATGCTATATAAACAATGCACCGTACACGCTTATCAACATTTATGGCCCACACACCAATCAGACGGAATTCACAGACAAAATCCTTGCCCTAGCGAGTGCACACAGATTTGGAACTTTGGTCATTGGTGGAGACACCAATTTTCTCCTTGATAGCTCTCTAGACTCCACATCTACTGCTAGGCTGACCAACACATCCGCACGTAAGTCGCACAAAATCTCGTCGTTGCTCTGCAACCAGATTCTCCAGCACAACCTTTTAGACCCTTGGAGAGTCCTCCACCCGCTAGAGCGGGATTATACCTTTCACTCGTTAGCCCACAATACATACACTAGAATCGACAGGTTCTTACTTCCGACAACGTTGATGCAGGCAGTTCAGACAACAGATATAGGTCTGGTAACTTGGTCGGACCATGCCCCAATAACCCTAACCTTACGGGAGGCCTGCTCTGCTGTGGGCAGAGGAACATGGAGACTGAATGACTCCCTGTTGAGGGACCCTAAAATTGTAGACCAACTCAGAGTAGACCTCACCGACTACTTCAAAACGAACCTAACCCCCGACGTAGACGTGACTACTGTCTGGCTGGCACACAAGGCGGTAATAAGGGGTCTTCTGATTAGAGCGGGTAGCCACGCTAAAAAGCAAAGACTCAAAGACTACTCCGACCTAATTGCCCGGATAACTGATCTTACACATAAAAATAAAACGCACCCCACGCCAACACTGCGTCAAGAGCTGTCCGTTCTACATACCAAACTAGGTTCCTTGGAGCAAGCCAAAACCACTCACATACTCCAACGTTATAAACACAATTTCTTTTCACAAGGGAACAGGGCGGGTGCCCTATTAGCTGCAAGACTTAAAACACGCACAGCCCACTCCAGAATAGCATATATTGTCACGGCTACAAAACAGAAACTCACAAACCCTCAAAGCATAGTTGACGCATTTTCAGAGTACTATAGCAAACTCTATAATCTTAGAGAAGACCCCAAGATCACACCACCATCCACGCAAGACATTCTCACCTTTCTAGCACAATCTGACTTACCCAAACTATCCCAGGAAGACGTATCTTCCCTCACTGCACCGTTTACCACTCAAGAGGTAGATGCTACAATCAAGCAGCTTCCTAAACACAAAGCACCAGGCCCAGATGGCTACACCAACTTCTACTACCAGACCTTTGCCCCCATCCTATCGCCACACATATCCGCACTCTTCAACCAATGCTACTCACAAGGGGCCCTACCCTCCGAAATGTTAAAAGCCCATATCTCCACCCTCCCAAAACCAGGCAAATCTCAAACACAGTGCCAAAATTTTAGACCCATATCTTTACTGAACGTAGACGTTAAACTATATGCTAAACTTCTAGCCAACCGGTTGTCTACTATCCTCCCTACATTAATACACAATGATCAATCAGGCTTTGTCAAAACGAGACAGGGCTCGGATAACACAAGGAAAATCTTAAACATCCTATCCCACACACATAGCGCTGGGGGAAAGGGCCTTCTCTTAGCGTTAGATGCGGAGAAGGCCTTTGACAGGCTCAATTGGGACTTCATGCAACAGGTCTTAAGAGCGTTTGGCTTTACGACACCCATGATCTTGGGCATTATGGCATTGTACAACGCCCCAACGGCTCAGGTATCCAACGCTGGCTTTCTCTCCATCCCATTCAAAATAACCAACGGCACACGCCAGGGGTGCCCTTTGTCCCCATTATTATTTGTCCTTTCCCTAGAACCGCTAGCGCAGATAATCAGACGCCAACCCGAAATTAAGGGCATGGTAGTGGGCAAATCCGAGTACAAATTGTCCATGTTTGCTGACGACATTCTCTTAACATTGAGTGACGTGCCCTCGTCCCTACCCGCTTTGATGCTGCTCCTAAAACGCTATGGCGACCTGACATACTATAAACTAAACCAAAATAAAACCCAAGCTCTACCCATAAACCTGACTAAAGACTCAGTGCAGGGCCTTAAGACCATACATGATTTTGACTGGAGGTCTGACCACATCACCTACCTCGGGGTCAAAATCGCGTCCACAACTGAACAACTATACCAATACAATTATAAACCACTCCTCAACCTATGCAAATCTGAGTGCCTAAAGTGGAAACCAGTCAAGCTATCGTGGCTAGGCAGAATCAACACAGTAAAAATGGTCCTCCTTCCCAAACTGCTGTACGTTTTCCGCCTCTTACACCTACAGGCTCCACCAGGGTTTTTTAAATCACTTCAAAAGGTGCTGTCCTCCTACATATGGGACGCCCATAGACCCAGAATTTCCCAACGCATCCTCCAGAACCACCAGACAGATGGGGGAGTAGGTCTACCAGATATATACACATACTATAAAGCGGCTGTCTTGGAAGCGGCAGTAAAAATACACACCTCAAAAGGGGTCTACCAGTGGGTAGACATGGAAGTAGATCAACTCAATAGCACATCCCTAGTAAATATGTTCTGGACACCTAAGCCTCTACGCCCCAAAAACACAACACTCCTCCCAACCACCACGCTAACCCTACACCACTGGGATATGTTACGCCAGAAACAAACTGCACCCCACAAATACCACCCACGTTCCCCGCTGATAGCCCTGAAAGCGTTATCACCCTGGCTCTCACTGAACTCATGGGTTAAACTGGGAATAACCACACTCGACCAGGTCCTCCAGCGGAACCGCATCAAACCCTTTCCAGACTTACAAAGGGAATTTCACCTACCAAACTCCTCAGTGTTTCAATACATGCAGCTCAAGAGCATTCTACCCACTCATGTCTCCCATACAGCTACAACACACAATACAGATCTACGAGATTTGGAGACCCTATATGACAGGTGCTGGAGAGCCCCAACCAAACCCAAATCCCTTGCCTCTTGCTACAAAGTCCTTTTACGAACCTCACCAACTCCACCCCCCATATTTGTGTCACAATGGCTAAAGGAGTGCACAACGATCTCTAGCAGGGAAATACTAGCGTCTCTTAATGCACTCAAAGGACTAACGCAATGTTACTCCCACTTCGAAGCACACAAAAAACTGGTGTACAGGTGGTACCTAACTCCCCAACGGCTTCATCAAATGTATAAAACGGTTCCCCCATACTGCTGGCGATGTGGGACGGAGAGCGGAACGATGACACACATTTGGTGGTCATGTCCACGCATCCGCCCGCTGTGGCAAGAGGCGCAAACTATACTGCGAACCATAGGTATCGCCACACCACCCCTAGACATACACACAGGTATATTTCTGACATACCCCAAACTCCTAACAAAAAAGGTTAAAGGTATCATGGCACTCATAGCACTGGCAGTGAGAAATCTAATAGCGAATCACTGGAAGCTACCACGCTGCCCCTCTAAGACTCTCCTAATGGCCAAAATCCACCAATATTACACCCACGAGTGGTTATCCGCCCAAACTGCGGCACTTAAAGTACGCCTCCTAGCAACTTGGGCCCCGTGGGTAGAGTATTGGGAGGGGCAACCCACAAACCCTTCCTCCCCATCCCACCAGTGCAGCCTGCTAAAAAACCCAACATCTACTGACTCGGATTCGAACTAAGGTGACAAGCATTGGTACGTGCACATTGCACCCCAAGCATTCTGTACTCTGTATTATGTACTCAGCACTCTATGTTTTTCATAGCGCAGCATGTATTAAAGAATGATTTCACGCTGTATTTTATGACGAGATGTATCATTGTTAATCCTGACATCCCGGTCCCTACCCCTCCTTTCTTCTTTCTGTACCCCACCCCATCCCTTTGAAAAAATGTCAATAAAAACCTTAAATATGAAACAAAAAAATGTTATGTTAGCATGTATTACTGACAGCAATCAAGGTCTAACATATATTTCATGATAAACAATAAAAAATTAGTTTCTAAATTAATTCATAACATTAAAACACTATTTTAAGCAAGAAATTATTTGTTTTTAAAGTATTATAGCTATCTCTAAAACATAACAATTGTACAAGTAAAGCAGATAAAGTTGCGCAGCCTTACAAAATTCGAAAAAAGGTCCATACAAAAACTAACCTTGGACATTGTTAGAAAAAAGGTAATTCACAAGCAGAAAAAATCAATAGCATCTAAACAACTAACAATCTACAGAGCAAAGAGCAAGGTTAAGAAAAAAAGTTTGACTTTGCTTTATAACAACATATAATGGCTAGAATTGGGATAACATAAAAAAAAACTTGACCTTTACTTCAACAGAAAAATGAACTAAAACAAAATACATTATCAATTATATGTAAGAAAATAGATAACATGTTAGTGGATATACAATTTAGTTGTATACATGTTAAAAATGAAAATTAAGTTAAAGAAAAATCTATTGTGGTAAAAAAAAACCATTTTAATTATTTTTTGTTTGTGGAAAGTGTAAAACGTGTAGGATTCAAAGGTATAAGATAAGGCAGATATATATTATAGAAAACAGACAGAATTAGGTGCTCGCTATTGTGATGTATAAAATAAAGAGTGGGCAGCAATGACCAACACAAGGATTCCCTACCTTGTGATAAAACAATAGTGAACAAGGAAAAAAGGAAACCGCGCCCTTATTGTGATACGAATATACATACTCAAATCCTTATGGTCATATCATTTCAGTAGTATACATTTGTCAGAGCTACATACAGAGCTCTACTGTTCTTGCGCATAGACGGAATAAAATAGAGCGTGCCTCGCTCTAGTTTATAAAGTGTAGGTGGTATAATCTCCACCCATTATTATTTTTTCCTGGTTTTCATCTTATTCCTTGGTGGGGATTATACCACCTACACTTTATAAACTAGAGCGAGGCACGCTCTAGTAAATGTGAGTACGATACTTTATATTAATTTATTATCTCAAAGGTATTAGTATCTACTGCACTATGTGGATTCCTCTGCCTGTCTATGTGTTCTTTGTTTGAGACCATCAAGACGTGGACCACTTCACACTTATCCAGAGACGGGGATTATTCCGTCTATGCGCAAGAACAGTAGAGCTCGGTATGTAGCTC